GTTACAAGGCTAGACATGTCAAGGATAGTGGTTAGCTGCTGAACCAGATTTTCAGAATAGTCTAGACTCATTTAGAACCCTTGGTACATGACTTCCTGCAGGATATGTTTCATTCTGTATGTTGCCTCTGCTGCTGTCATATCCATTTAATTCTAGGTGAAAACATGCTGCTTTGTTTAATATCATGGCTCTTCTCAATAGCTCTGAGCATAATTGGAACTCTTTGGCTGTAGTTTCACAAGAAAAAGGAAACCAAACCAATTCAAATTCAGCAAGCAAGCAATCCTCTCCAAAGCCTTAATGGGGAATTTAAACAATGTCCTGAAGTTGTGTCTGTTTGTCAGTCTGCCTATCTATCTGTTTATATAAATAAACTTATTTTTACAAATAACTCAAGGTGATGAATATATCCAACACGTCCTTCCTACAATTCTTTTATAATAAATCTAGCCACAAATGAAAATCCCAAGTAGCAACCCGATAAGCAAACGATGGGGGAAACCTGGTATTTTTAAATGTGTTTAATAAAATCAGCCTTTTCAATATCCAGAAATTAATTTAATAAGTTGAAGAAAAAATATGTAGCATTAGTTTATTTTTGAGGAACAGGCCTCTGAGATGCTTTTCAAATGTTAGTGTCATTAAAAAAATTGCAGCCCTCTTTCTAGTATTTGTTCTACAAATCATAAAATTAAAAAAATCATAAAAACACCATGAATTCCTGATATGGGACGCATACATTTTTCTTTTTTTCTAACTCTATGGATAGATTTATAGAAAGAGGAAAGAGAAGAAAATTGCTTGTGAATATATAACTGCTTCTCTTCTCCCTTTTTATTTTCCTTATATTCCAATACCTAGATTTGCCTTAAGGTGGGTCTGGAAGAGATAAGCCAGGGCTTGTTAAAATACCAAAGCAGGCTGGCAGAACAAAACTTCTGTTGAAAACTGAAAACCAGTCATTTTTAAATCCACAGCTTTTTTTAAAATGCAACTTTTCTTTATAACAAGTCACATGAGACAAGCTTGCAAGAACTGAATAACCCTTTTATTTAGAAAATGAAGTAAAATGACTAGAAAAATAATCTTGAAGGTCATGTGTTACACAGCTGACTGCAAAAGTTGTGGCATTGAGATCTTGGAAAATTTGGATGCATACTTAACTATTTTTGTATAATTTTCTATAATTCAAAATAAGAAAATAGTCAACAGAGCAGGTGTAAAAAAATGAATATATTTCAGTCTACTTTGTAATGAACATTTCCCAACATTTTCTGTAACTAGCTAAGAGTCTTTCTATTTTTGCTTTTGGATTTTTTTTCCTCAACCTTTCCTTGTAGAATTCTTCTAGCTCAAAATTATTCCTAGGTCTCCTTGCATGATTTACATGTATGAGCTCTCTCTATATCTCAGCCAGCAATGCTCATGGTAAAATGTGTTGTGATCTCATGACACAAACTCCACTTCTTATGTATTTGCATAAGAAGTGCACATATAAAAGGGATAGAGTTAATGTTCCAATGCCCACTTGCTCCCTTTTGCTCTTTTGTGTGGATCCCGATCTCTTCACAGATTGTCAATAACAGTCAAGTCTGGGGTTATAAAGATATTTCAAAACTCTTATTTTCCTCTCCTGTGAGTACTTCATAATTGATTTGGAAGTAGGGTTGTAACTACAAATTCATGCCCTTAAACTGTTACGATGCAGTTCAGTTCGAATATGTGCTTTCTTCAAGAAATGCATCAATTAGATCAAGGTTTCTAAAGCTGTGAGTTGCCTCCCTTGGGAAGGTGCAGAGTCCAGAGGATATGTGAAGAACCTTTAAGTTGCATATTGTTATAATAAATCCCTTTTCCTCAAAGTTTGACTATTCTTTTCATTGTTCATTTGTTTTTATTTTATTTATTGTATTTATTTATTTTTTGTCAATTCCTTACAAGATAATAGGCATAAGTAAAAACATAGTTATGAATACATGGATACATATAAGAAAAATAAATAAAAGAAACAATAGGACAGGGATGTTGGTGCGTTTATGCACGCCCCCTACAGACCTCTTAGGAAAGGGGTGAGGTCAATAGTAGACAGTCTAAGGTTAAAGTTTTTGGGGTTTGGGGAAGAAACCACAGAGTCAGGTAGAGTATTCCGGACATTGACCATTCTGTTGCTGAAGTCATAATTTCCTGCAATCAGGTTTGGTGCGATTAACCTTGAATTTGTATCTATTGTTTGCTCTTGTGTTGTTATGGTTGAAGCTGAAGTATTCATTGACATGTAGGACATTGCAATGTATGATTGTATATACTGTACTTAGATTGGACCGAAGGCGGCGTAGTTCTAGGTTTTCTAGGTTTAGAATTTCAAGTCTGGTGGCATAAGGTATTCTGCAACGAGTAGAGGAGTGGAGAACTCTTTTTGTGAAATATTTCTGGACCTTCTCAACTGTGTTAATATCAGATACGTAATGTGAGTTCCAGACTGATGAGCTGTGTTCGAGTATTGGTCTAGCAAACGTTTTGTATGCTCTAGTTATTAGTGTAATATTACCAGAGAAAAAGCTACGTAAGATTAGGTTAACAACTCTTAACGCCTTTTTGGCTATGTAGTTACAGTGGACTCTAGCACTTAGACATTAGAGATGAGTACTCCAAGTTCCTTGACAGAGTTTGGATCATCAACAAGGTCTTGACTATTCAGCCTGTATTTTATTTTCTGATTTTTTTTGCCAATATGTAGGACAGAGCATTTATTTGTCGAGATTTGAAGTTGCCATTTGTTTGACCATTCTGATACATAGTCCAGGTCTTTTTGAAGGGTAGCAGTATTGTCTGTGGTGTTGAATAGCTTTACATCATCAGCGAAGAGAACGCAGTTGCTCTTGATATGATCACAGAGGTCATTTATATAGAGTATGAAAAGAGTTGGTCCTAGAACACTGCCTTGGGGGTCACCACTGTTGACAGGTACAGAATTTGATAGGACGCGCCCAATTTTGACCATTTGTTGTCTGTTTGACAGGAATGCTTCTATCCAGTTATGCAGGTGTCCAGAGATACCGTAAGATTTTAGTTTTAGGAGTAGTTTGTCATGTACCACTGAATCAAAGGCTTTACAGAAGTCTATGTAGATTGCGTCTATTGCTTTGTCCTGATTGAGTTGTGTAGTCCATATGCTTTTGCAATGTAAGAGTTGCAGATTACATGATAGTTTTTTCCTGAAACCAAATTGTTTATTAGAGAGTAGGTAGTTTGTTTCTAAGTGGAGGATGATGGATTGGTTAATAATTGATTCCATGACTTTACAGGTGATGCAGCATAAAAAGATTGGTCTGTAATTTTCAACTAGGCTGGGGTCTCCCTTTTTGAAGATGGGGATGACTGTGGCTTGTGACCATAGTTTTGGCAAGGAGCTGGTCCTGAAAGATTTTTCAAAGATTATGCTTAGAGGTTCGGCTATGGCAGTGGCTAACTACTTCTTTTTTAAGAAGTAGGCACATATTCTGTCTAATAGATAGAGTTGGTTTTAGATTGTGTAGTGCTTTTTCAACATTGTCTACTGTAAAATCAATATGTATTAGATCATTGTAGTTGTCTGTGGTTCGACTAGGAAATATTGGGCATGATCCATTGCTGTTTACAAATACTGAGCCAAAGAATGTGTTAAAGATGTTGGCTTTAATGGTGTCATCGTTGCAGTCTTTACCATTAGGTCCTTTCAGGGGTGGCATGGACCTTGAGTCTTTTAGTTTGTTGTTTACAAAATTGTAGAAAGTGCGGGTGGAATTGGTGCGTAGAAGGTTTTCTTTTTGTTTAATGTGATAATTGGTGCATTTAGTTTTTATCTGGTAGCATAAATTTTTGTATCGGCTTTTGAAGTTGGCAACGTGGCCAGATTTGTTTTTTCACCAAAGTGATTTATTTTTGGATTGAAGCTTCCTTATTGTTTTGGGTAATTTGTTTTTTCTGGTTTTGGGAATTGTTAATGGTACATATAGTTTGATGATTCTTTTGACTTCAAGTAAAAATATGTTGTAATGGTCTTCTACAGTATTGCATCCAGAGAATAGAAATTGCCAATCAAGGAATGAGAGATTGTTGTTTATAAGATCATAGTTGCCTTTTTTGAAGTTACAATTGGGGATTTCGTCATTGTGATTATTTTTGTGTGGACGTATGTTGAGACAAAAGTTAATCATGTTGTGGTCACTGTTGGAAAAGGGTTCTTTGATTTGTATTCCGTAAATTGAATTCAAACTATTGCAGAAGATGAGATCGAGGCAGTTGTTAAGTCTAGTGTTGTTGGTTACTAGTTGTTCTAATCCCAGATTTGTTATTGCATTGTAGAAGGTTGCATGTGTGGGTTCAGTTGTACATTCTACATTATGTCTGGATTTTTAGGAGAAGTGCGTACATTAAAATTAATGTAAGGAGGCATGATGGCAAAAAGTTTAGGAAGCCTGAATTAGATAATGAAATGAAATAAAGTATAAAGTTTACATAGAACTTCAGAATGTATATTTTCTTCAGGAAAATTGGAAACATTTTAAAATTTTCTATTAGACTGTCTGGCCTTTGTTGGGAACTGGATATTACAGATAGTCCTCAACTTATGACCAGTGACTTAGCAACTGCTTGAAGTTACAAAGGATCTCAAAAAGGATACTTGCAACCTGGATTTGAAGTTTTAACAGCTATCATCCGTCTCCACAGTCACCTGACTGTGACTGTGGACAGAACATTCATAATATGTTCTGGTTTAGGCTTGGTCTAGTTTAAATTAACAAATAAAAGTAGAAATAAACCATGTCAATATAAAATGTTAATAAATATTAAATGGAATCATTTTTAAACTTATTTTCTCATTTATTTCAGGATGCAATAGAGCAATATTTAGAACATTGTAAAATCATGTATTGTTCAAATTCAATGTCGGCATATTTTCCTTTGTTGAAAAGAATATATTTAAAAACTACTCTGTACCCTTCCCTTGTTGTTCTTAGGTAAATATCTTTGACCACGATGAGTTGGAGTTTCTTGACCCGTCTACTTGAGGAGATCCACAATCATTCCACATTTGTGGGGAAGATCTGGCTGACTGTACTGATTGTATTCCGCATTGTTCTCACTGCTGTGGGAGGGGAATCCATCTATTATGATGAACAAAGCAAATTTGTTTGCAATACAGAACAGCCAGGTTGTGAAAATGTGTGCTATGATGCTTTTGCCCCCCTCTCTCATGTGAGGTTTTGGGTATTTCAAATCATCCTAGTCTCTACTCCCTCAGTAATGTACTTAGGCTATGCTGCTCACAAAATAGCTCGGATAGTGCAACATGGCGAAACGGAACGGAAGTTACGAAGCAAACCTCTTCTAATGCGTTGGAAACAGCACCGAGGTCTAGAAGAAGCAGAAGACGATAATGAGGAAGATCCAATGATGTATCCAGAGATTGAGGTAGAGAGTGAACGAGAGAACAAGCAAAATCCATCCCTCGCGAAAATAAAGCATGATGGTAGGAGGCGAATCCGAGAAGATGGGCTTATGAAGATTTACATCTTTCAACTGCTGAGTAGGACTATGTTTGAAATTGGCTTCCTGGTAGGCCAGTACTTACTCTACGGATTTGAAGTCAGTCCAACGTTCCTTTGTAGCAGAAATCCATGTCCCCATTTTATTGACTGTTTCATTTCAAGACCCACAGAAAAAACCATATTCCTGCTCATCATGTATGGTGTGAGTAGTCTCTGTTTACTTCTGAATATCTGGGAAATGCTTCACTTGGGATTTGGCACCATTCGGGACACACTGAATAACAAACGGAAGGAGCTAGAAGATTCAGGAACTTATCATTATCCTTTTATTTGGAATACTCCACCAGCTCCTCCAGGGTACAATATTGCAATGAAACCTGACCAAATACAGTACACAGAGTTGTCTAATGCCAAAATAGCACATAAGCAAAATAAAGCCAATATTGCCCAAGAACAACAATATGGCAGCAATGAGGAGAACATTCCCACTGAACTGGGGAACATCCAGCGAGAAATCAAAGTAGCTCAGGAACGCTTAGATCTTGCCATCCATGCATATAATAATCAGAATAATCCATCCTGTTCCAAGGAGAAGAAGCCCCGAGGCAGCTCAAACAAAAGCAGTGGCAGTAGTAAATCAGGGGATGGAAAAACTTCTGTTTGGATTTGATGCTGTTCACTTGAGAGGGAATGCTACCTTTTTCTTGTAGCATATCTAGCAAATTGGGTGCGAAATAATTTCCAGTAAAAAATAATTGGCCTTGCTAAAGTTCAGAGATGTTTTGTGCTGCTAAATGGTACTGTTCAAAAGAACAGAAGAGAAAAAGTTATGCTCACATTCTGATATTTCCAAAACATGTATTCATGTTTCTTCCAGATTTGCAGATGTCCCAGGGATTTTTTTAATTATTTTTGTTAAAAGAGTTTATACTGTATGCACAATATTATGGTACCTTTTATTATGCACATTTTGTATTTGTATATTGGATATCTCAGTTATGCATTTTGTATTAAAAGGAATCAAATAGGAATTTTCAACATTTTTCTAAAGCATTTTCTCCTCATATTTACTTTGAATTTCAGAGAGGTTTGAATTATGGAGCAGATAATTCTGAATGACTGTCATGAACAGATTCCAGCCAAATAAATTAAACATTAGGTAAAATATGTCTTCTGATGTAGTCAGATTTTTTTTTCCTGTAGTGAATATCCTTGAATATGAGTGGACAAAAAATGAATTTCAAACTGGCTGCTTCTAGCATATAACCTTGTATTCAGTTTATGAGTCTTCCAAGAAAAAAGTGCCTGGAATTGAAAATGTTTTCTGAATAAAAAAGGTAAATAGTTCAACCACTGTGAAAATAAAACTTCATGTACCTGATGATTTAAAACATATATTTGATAGTGCAAAGTAGGAAAAGCAATTGGGTATCTCCCAGAATTCAGATAATTCATACTGCAGCCCCCATATTATTGACTTATGTTGGTTGGAATTATAGTCCAAATAAGAGTGCCTATCTCCTGTTTAGGGATGACTTCATCACCTCTTGATATTGGAAACAATTTAAAGTTTAGAAAAAAGTTAGGCTAGTTAAATTAGTGTTAAGACAAAGAAAGGCCTGCTTTCTTGAAACTTGAACCTGTATTCAAATGGTGGGGAAAAAACATCTTGATTTAAGGGAAATATTGTATTAACAGAATTAAAATACTTGCCTTTATTTTGAAGTGGGAAATGTTATTTTAAAGGCATGTGATGTACAACATGATTCTTCAGGAAATTCTTTATTGTGAGAAGGAGTGAGGGGTTATGAATTTGAAGTGATGGAAAAATTTGTACTTTAACAAATCTATTTATTTTAGCAGTGTCCAACGTCAATCTTCCTCCTTGATCTTTTAAATTCCTGTCCTGCTATTTATGGATTGCATGCAAAAAGCAGCAGGAAGCTACTTGGGAGCGTATATTCTAGTCTTGTGAAACTGCAGGCTGTTCTAATTAAATACATAGGTCCTTTGAAGGAGAGTTTCAGCTCCATACAGCAAACTGGAAGTCTTACTTCTTTCCTAATAAGAAGACAAAACAGTTAGCTACCAGCTTTTGGAGCTCGCCCATTATTTGGTTCATAGATTGGATGTATTTGAATTGCTGTGGTTTTATCTGTTATGATGCTGAGTTGATAACATTTGCAAAATTTGGCAAGTAATAAGAGTTTGGATTTAAAGCAATACGTGCTCATTAAAAAAAAAGGCTTTGTGTATTTTACTTCATTCAAAATATAGTAAAGTCTGAATTAAAAGCAATGGATAACAATGACACTATCTCAAGTGCTTGTCATTTTTCCTACTGCCGTGATACAATCACTGAATAAACTGGCTTTGCAGAAATCTAATAGCTGTTTAAGTGGAAAATGGGGTTGTGTCCAAATTTAGATGCATTCAACCCATTTTTGGTAGCAAATGGAGATGCTTGAAATAGATACTGGAGATACTTAACAAGCAGGGTAGGCAATTTGGTGAGGAAGGACGGGTTCTTCCAAAATTGCATCTTTTTGTGTTATGTTCAAATTATACAGGATACATCTCCCTAACTATTCCATCCATCCACCGTACACAAAGCCTGTCTCATTTAGCAGAATCCCAAGTTTTTTGTGCAATATTTTAAAAGGCCTAGATACAAATGCATATCAGTGTGCTGTTCTGCCTAAAACTTGACAAATTGCATTGAGAAATAGGAGTTTTGAATAAGAACAGTTATGCTGCTTCTACTATTGAAAAATCTGTATTCCAAAAATTATTTCAGGAAATGTTGTTTTTAAGATTACTTCAGTGTTGGTATTTAGTAGAGATCATTTTAATTAAATGATGTAAATATCTCCCCAGCTGCTTTTCTTATCACTCCAAATTTGGGGGCTACGTGCATGTTCAGTTTTTTTTTTAACTGAAAAAAAAAACACCAGGCAAGATTTAATATTCACCTTGTGTTTATAATTATAGAATGCAATGTTTATTGTCTTTGGTGACATCTTATTGGCAAGGACAGAGAAAAGTACATACAGTACTTGTGTACATTGATTATTAGAATTGCAGAACTGCTTCATTTTCCTCCCTGAATTCTGACAAGAAAATGCACTGATGTGAAACTATTTTATGATTTTTTTTTCTCCCTAGAATTTAAGAGGCCTTTTGAGAAGTTTTTACATTTTCACTTTTTTTCCAATTCTAAAAATTTATAGATTACCTTTCTTGAAGCAAGTCTGAGTTTACAATATCTGAGTCAGAAATGGAAAACCTGTGTTTACCATTAAATAACCCCAAGTCTTAGAAAGGGAAGGCTAGATAATTTGTACTTCCCTTTCTAAGACGGTACTGCTTTAATCCTGATCATTAATCATGCTGAATGTTACTGATACAATTTATAATCCAATATATTTGGAGAGCCTCCGATTCTGCTTGTTTTGTAGAATTTCAGCATTGTTAAAAAGAAATGTTTGCTGTCTTTTATCTTTAAATACACAAGACTGAATGTAAAAATAGTGAATAGTTGGGCCAATACTTGAAGAGCACCTAGCTTCTTCAAGAAGTAGCATAATAGCTATATAAAGTTTCCCTAAAAGAGAATATTTGATGGATGAGTAAGCTTATATTTGATGGATGAGTAAGCTTATATGTTTTAAACATATAGCATTGCTTTGCCATTCTAGGACCTCCTCACACCAGAAAAATACTGTACCAAATTTTGCAATTTTTAACAAAGACACTTTGGATGCAGGATGTAGAAATACTGTGAATTTATGAATGCCAGCAGGAAATACTTAGCTTTTCAAGGACGATTTCAATATAAAACGACATTCAGCGAGAAGCTGAAAAAATTTACCAAGTGAATATTTTCTGGAACCTTTATTCATCTGCTTGAATTGAAATTAAATAAGTAACAAAGTTAATAGTCAAATGTTTGGATGGTGCTATAAAAGGAAAGAGTTCATGAACTTTATTCTGAAGTTTGTCTTGAATAAAATGCAGCCTATGTTGGATACAAGAAGTCTACTAACAGTTGCACCCATAACTTTATGTGTATGCATGTTTCTTCTTGCACTGAAGATGGATGGCACACATACAGGGTTTTGGGACATGAAAGATCATACGGTAATAAAATGCATAACTAGCTGTCTGCATGACTGCAGATCCCAGTATTGCCTTTCAAATGTAGGAGATGTTACTTCTTTTTGGCTTGGATAAGATAGTAGCTGATAACAGAATTTTAATTATCTGGGATCCTTTTTAAACAAGCAAAGTGGGTGGGTTGAGTCACATGCCAGTTCAACCCTCCATGTCCAAATAATAAAATCACGGTTTTCATGCTTTTGGAAAGCATTTTAGCATCCAAGAAGGGACAGGAAAGGAGAAGTGGAAAGAGGAAGGCCAAAGACAAAAAAAAAAAGGAAAGATGGGAAAAGAGCAAGGAAGAAAAAAGAAGAGGGGAAGGAAGGCTTCCCAAATGGACCACGAGGGCAGGGGAAGGAAGGAAGAAGGAATGAAGAAAGATAATGAGAAAGGAGGGTGTGAGGGAAGTCCTGTCTTAGCACTTGGCCAGTACAGGTGCCGCCATGAGTGATGTTGAGCTGGCCATTCCCCTGAAGATCGAACAACCCTGATGCGGCCCTCAATGAAATTGAGTTTGACACCCCTGCTATTGATGATCAAATATACAATCTCCTTGTGTACTTTTAGGATATACTACTATTATATTGCAATCTGTCCCTTGCACTCCGAGGGGGAATCAGGATACCTATCCCTATAAGGAAGGACCAAACTTAGATCCCAAAAGGTACTGTGTAAAAGAAAGATTGAATTCTTTCTCTTGCTCCCAAAGTCAAGTGAAAAAAGCCAAAATATTTTTAAAATGTCCATTAACCTAATCCATGAGCGAGAAACCATGTGAAAATCGTGTCACGTAAATTTCTGTAAATTTGTTAACAAGTAAAATTAAGCATATAAAATTGCAACATTACTTTGATCAAATTTTATTTGATTTTTCCATACAACATAGCATCAAAGGTCTGGTAACAGAAAACATCTGTCACTTTAAGTTGAAGTTCTATTAAAAAAAGAAAGGAGCAGCATCAAATGTGCTCATTCTGCATGGGGGAATCACAGGACAGAACACACTGAGATAATCAAAGACAACCATCTTCCCTACCAACTGCTCAGGTGCCAAAATCCACATATTCATTGAAACAAAACGATGCATATTGTCTCAGAAGCAAGCTTGCATCTCCTTGCAGAAGTGCTAAGCCTTTCTAAAAAGCAGGGTTAGTATTAGGGTTATGCATGAAGAGTAAAATCTTAATTAAAAATGCTATCATACCTCATGAAAGGGTGGGCTGAGCAGCCCTTCTTTAAACAAAAGTGACTCGACACCTGTAGTGGTTCATTTAGACAATTAGCATCTCTTTACTTTGCAAACACTTTCAGAAAAAGACACTTTTGCTCTTCAGAAATCAGGTGATGCCATCCAGAGTAATACACTAGGCCAAGTGGGAAGAGGATAGGGTGAGGTGGGACAAGGCTGGAAGGGGCAATGTGGCGAAATCATCTGCCAATCTTAATGGTTTTTTGTTTTGTTTTTTGGAAAATGCATTGAAACTCCCCCTCTCTTTCAAGGTTAAGGAATGACTGAGGCAAAGAAAATCACTGCGCCCATGAAATCTTCAGAGCAGAAGCTCAGGATGGCAGCTTTTTCAGATTCTAGGTTATAGCCCTCATGACTTTGGACAGGGCAGTGAATCATGGATGGGAAGGAAGAATGTAGAAGTAAAAGGGTTGACTTAATATAAATGTAGATGGCCTATTTGGCCCATAGTGGTGACAAGTGTAGAATAGAAGACATCCTTTAGGATCTGAATAGCAATTTGGCAAAAATGGCCCTGGTTCATTCACCTTCTTATACCACTCCTGAAACAGTTCACTCTAATTCAAGGCCTCAAACAAATCCACCCAAAAAGGCACTTCAGAGCAGAACATGGGCATCAATAGAATGTGGGGAGACGCTGCCAGTGTCCCAACGGGAAGACTTTCTGTAGCAGTGATATCCAAACCGGGAACAATAGAAGCCAGAAGGACAGCAGTGGCGCCTGTCATGACAGCAGGTTCCCTATGAAATAGAAGAGGAGATAATGAAGGACAGCAATCCTTAATTAAGACACAAGAAAGTTGCTCAAAATCCTTACATGATTCTCAATAAATCTACAAGCTAAGGAAGGATGACCTGGAAAAATATTTAGTAATTAAAGACAGAAATAGCTTTAAATCATGAATTCACAATACAATTTATATGTAATGCAGGGGCTTACATTATTTACAGTAACACCAAGTTCTATGGTTTCTTTCAGTGGTCTATCTGTTACCAAACTTAAAAATGCATTTTGGGGAAAAAATGATATAATCATACTTAACTTTACTTGCCTTATTGGTTTTATCAATGCATGTGAGAAAGTTCTGAGGACTCAAAAATTAGCATAGAAAATTTATGATGGAATTTGATAGTCTTTATTCCCAGCAAGGCTGCCTTTTTTTTTTTGGTACAATGACAAAGAGAACATTATAGTAAAATATTGGTGTTCTTACATTGCTTTATTGATTTGGGGAGAGCCATCCTGTCTGCCCACCCACCCATGGCCTCTATTCACCGCTATTCACCACAACTGAGTCGGTATGTCTGGGCACTAACCTTTTCATATGGGCAGCAGGCCCAGCTACCGCTCTTGGCCTTGCAGCAGGTCTGGCCCACGTGGCAGTAGTGCTGTTCACCACACAAGACATCCTGATTGGAGACAGCATTTTGCAATGAAGTCAGCAGGTCCCCTGCAGCATCAGCAAGGCCTGGCCGGTGCTGTTTCTCACAAGACTGGGCTGCCACATTGCAGGTATAGCCAAAGGGGCAGCAATGTTGGTGATCCTCACAGCAAGTGGCCTGTAGAAAGCAAGAGGAGGTATTTGCTTGGTTTGAGGTAAAAATACACCTTTATGGTGGAACATTTTAAGGGAACTAAATAAAACAATTTTATAACAGCTCTGTTTTGCTTCAAAGAAACCTTTATCCAAAAGACAGAAACACCCCTTTATTCCTTCTTTTTCCCATTTCCTTGCTAAATTTAAAATGTCTGAATTAAGATATGAATTAGATAGAAAAAAATAGAGTAGCTGAAAGCTCTGAACGGCTCATAGATGACACTTCTCTCAAGGAGACACTCAATGAATCTCCAGATGTAAGTGCTTGTTCTGCTAACAAGGAAAGCCTTAGCCTGGCCTCCAGGCTTAATTCACAACCATAACAGGAATGTGAAAGGGCACCTTTAGGACTGCAGTGGATTAAATTAATGGCAAGTGTTAAGCCTGGATTCCCCAACGGGTGTTAAGGAAAACAAACTAAACAGAACGTGCAGCGAAGTCAGATAGGAAGACAGGTAAATGTGTGAGATAAGTTTTCTAGTTAACACGCAGTAAAAATACAGATACGCTTGTGCTATCAAAAATATAGTTTATTCCATTTAAGAATTATAGCATAGTCAAAATAACGGTCCATTAGTCATATATCAATTTCAGTCAAGTCTTGTTGGGGATACTCTATTTGCAAAGTCCATACAATGTCAGTACACTTACAATAAATCAGTCCAATCTTTATCTTCTCTCCGTTGAGAAAAATCAACACTCCTTTTTCTCTCCCCGTTCCAGCAAGAACGCAGTCATCAATCCATCCAGTAATT